TTCTTCTCCCTCCCCTTTTTGCCCCCTTGTCTCTCTACTTCCAATTCTCTCTTCTGTGATCCTCTCTTCTGTTGCTTCCTAATATTGTAATTATATTTCAAACTATTATTTTTTTGTTGTTTTTTTGAATCTTAAACTTTTCACTTTTTCCCCCCTTTCCCTTTTTTCCCCCACATAAAATTACTTGATCATTAAAGATGGCTTCTTCTTTGTCCCAACCTTCTTGTTCTACAAGCGTTTCTTGTTGTTTCTCATAGTTCCAGATCTCCATTTCTAAAAATTGAAATACGAAGCCAAAAGAACCTCTTCCTTCTTGTGCATCTTCTTTCTGTTTTTTAAGTTCCATTTTCAGTTCTTCTAAAAATGATGCCATTTTAAACACTTTTAAACAACCACCTGATTGATTTTAGTCATTTAAATCCAATAGCCAAAAATCCAAAAATCACCAAGTAATCCAAATAATCCAAAGCTGTTTCTTCTTGCTTCTTTTTTCCACTTTCTCTTCCTGGGGTTCTATTATTTTGTTACAAAGTTTCAGTTAAAATGTGTCTTTTAGGAATCTTGTTAAAGTTTCACTGTAGGTTCCTTTTAGTTCCAGGCAGTCTCCTCCATTTTTCCAGATCTCGCCCTTTTATTCTTTTTCTCTCCTTTCCTGCTTTAAAAGATTTTTGAGTATCCAAAAGTCTTTGTTATCCCTTTGACATTTTATTTTCAGCTTAAATGCCTGTTGATGTCAAAGTGGATTTTTGTCAATTTCTTACTCAAATCTCTTAGCTGTCAGTATAAGGAAGGGAAGAAAAAAAAAGCCAAATCCTTTCCCTTCCCTCTCCCCTTCACTGCTTCAAAGTCTTCTTTGGGAACAATGTTATTTTTTATAGTTCAAATTCCAGGGTACCTTACATTGTTGCTTTTTCAGTTTAACCCGGTCAACCAAACTTTCTCTTCTTATCTTCCTCCTGCACATTCTTTTCCGGTTGAGTTCTTCTTTGAGGTAGCCATTTCTGACTACCACTGCAACCGCCTTCAGGAAAGGGAGTAATGGCCAGCTGAGGAGGAGAGATGCAGCTCTCCTCAACCCTCCTGGCGGTCTCCCCTCTCTTCACCACCTCTACGGTATGGCTTAGCCCCGAATCCAGCCGACTCGGGGTGCTCCAGTGGTGAGCACGAATCGAAACCACGCATGATCACGGATTTTGGTCTGTCACTGAAGAAGCTCAAACCGGAAGTCTTAAACTTTGGTTTTTAACCAACCTCAATTGTTTCTGTATTGTGTATTTCATTACTATCAGATTCCCTTGCACTCCTGCTATAATCAAAACCAGAATATGAACATCTTTGAAAAGAGTCCATAATTTCTTAGAATTTTAAGGTAGTCAGCTCTCCACAGCTAGCAATTAAAAGGGTAAAGAAAGGGTCACATTTCCTTGCATACTACGGTATAACAATGGCAGCCACTAGTCTGGATGATCATTTTTATAATTATTGGGATTTTCCAACGCAATAAAATTATCCCCCCCAAAAAAGTCAAAAGAATAGCAGTATCAAAATGAATTTGGCTTCATACTGTAGTTGCATTTCAATACATATTTATTTCAGAGAAAGCCTCCTGAATAAACTTTTTTAGAGTTAGCAAGAAGCCCTGAAATCGTAGACTATTCGGATCAAGGATTAAACTACATCAACTATTTGCTGAATGTTTACTTGGAGATAAAAGTATGTTGTAGTATTCTAACTTAAAAGAATAGCAGAAAATGTACTTATTGTTTGTTAATTGTATATGATAAGATATAAAGAGATATCTTTTTATAAGATAAAAACATTACTTTTTTTTACTTTTTAGAAAAATACATTGTTAATTTTTAAAATCTGAATAAAATGTAGCTTGTTCAAAATGTAGCTTGTAGCTTGTTCACAAATGAACCATTCTAAGTCTTACCATTGTACCTCAAAAGGGGTCAGGTTAATACTTCCCTGCATTTCAAAGGGATGCAGGTTAATATACAGGTGAAACTCGAAAAATTAGAATATCATGCAAAAGTTCATTTATTTCAGTAATGCAACTTAAAAGGTGAAACTAATATATGTGATAGACTCATTACATGCAAAGCAAGATAGTTCAAGCTGTGATGTGTCATAACTGAGATGATTATGGCTCACAGCTCATGAAAACCCCAAATCCACAATCTCAGAAAATTAGAATATTGTGAAAAGGTTCAATATTCTAGGCTCAAAGTGTCCCACTCTAATCAGCTAATTAAGCCATAACACCTGCAAAGGGTTCCTGAGCCTTTAAATGGTCTCTCAGTCAGGTTCAGTAGGAATCACAATCATGGGAAAGACTGCTAACTTGACAGTTGTGCAGAAAACCATCATTGACACCCTTCATAAGGAGGGAAAGCCTCAAAAGGTAATTGCAAATGAAGTTGGATGTTCCCAAAGTGCTGTATCAAAGCACATTAATAGAAAGTTATGTGGAAGGGAAACGTGTGGAAGAAAAAGGTGCACAAGCAGCAGGGATGACCGCAGCCTGGAGAAGATTGTCAGAAAAGGCCATTCAAAGTGTTGGGGACTTTCCCAAGGAGTGGGCTGAGGCTGGAGTCAGTGCATCAAGAGTCACCACACACAGACGGATCCTGGACATGGGCTTCAAATGCCGTATTCAGATAACAGATAACAGATAATCAGAGGGACCTTGTAGGTCATCTAGTCCAGGGGTCGCCAACCTTTTGGACCTCAGGGACCACCAAACTCATAATTTTAGATCCCAGGGACCACTAACTGGTTCTGTGGGCGTGGCCTAATTTGTGGGTGTGGCTTGATGGTCATGTGACTGTCTGGGCATGGTTTGTATGTAAATATTATAAACATTTATATAAATATTGAATTTTTTATAAAAAACAGCAACTTTTACCCAAAATCAGGCAAAGCAGGTAGGCAGATTGAGTTGCTCACAGAATCACAGATTCATTCAGAAATCTATCTATCCGCCATTGGCTAGCTCAGTCTGTCATGTAAAATTTGCTTGCAAACAAACTCATACAATTTGCTAGCAAGCAAACTCACAAAATTAATTCACAACACACCATGTATATAAATATTGATTTTTTTATATAAAAAAGCAATTTTTACCTAAAATCAGGCAAAGCAGGTAGATTGAGTTGCTCACAGAATCATTCAGTGATCTATCTATCTGCCATCGGCTAGCTCAGTCTCTCAAATTTGTTTGCCTTGAGTCTGCACTGAATTTGCTTGCAAGCAGAACTTCAGTCCTAAGGGAAGCAGAGCCGAAGATCTAAAGACTAGGTAGAAAGCAAGAAATCCAACCATTTCCTGCTTCCTAGCTAATCTAAATCTCCCGGAATAGCAGATGGTCGGAAAAAGGAAAAATAGCAATTTTAGCAGGCAAGTTTGCTGGGTAAGGAGTGAGTGGGTGGGGAGCATTCCTGCGGGCCATGTGGTCAGCGCAGCCTTGTGTTTCTGCGCAGCCTGGATTAATTGCTTTGGGGGGGTGCTCTGGGGGTGAGATTTCTCTACGGCCCACCAAAATTTTCTCAAGGCCCACTAGTGGATCGTGGCCCACCAGTTGGCGACCACTGATCTAGTCCAACCCCCCACCCAAGCGGGAGACCCTATACCATTTCTGACAAATGGCAGTCCAATCTCTTCTTGAAAGTCTCAAGTGATTCCTCTTGTCAAGCCGCTCTTGAAAAACGAACGTCAAAAGTGTCTTATTTGGGCTAAAGAAAAACAGACCTGGTCTGTTGCTCAATGGTCCAAAGTCCTCTTTTCTGATGAGAGCAACTTTTGCATCTCATTTGGAAACCAAGGACCCAGACTGATCTGGAGGAAGAATGGAGAGGCACACACTGCAAGATGCTTGAAGTCCAGTGTGAAGTTTCCACAGTCTGTGTTGATTTGGGGAGCCATGTCATCTGCTGGTGTTGGTCCACTGTGCTTCATTAAGTCTAGGGTCAACGCAGCCGTCTACCAGGAGATATTGGAGCACTTCATGCTTCCTTCCGCAGATGAGCTTTATGGGGATGCTGATTTCATTTTCCAGCAGGACTTGGCACCTGCCCACACTGCCAAAAACACTAAAACTTGGTTCAATGACCGTGGGATTACTGTGCTTGATTGGCCAGCAAACTCGCCTGACCTGAACCCCATAGATTCATGGGGCATTGCCAAGAGAAAGATGAGAGTCATGAGACCGAACAATGCAGAAGAGCTGAAGGCCGCTATTGAAGCATCCTGGTCATCCATAACACTTCAGCAGTGCCACAGGCTGATAGCTTCCATGCCACACTGCATTGAGGCAGTAATTGCTGCAAAAGGGACCCAAACCAAGTACTGAGTACATATGCATGGTTATACTTTTCAGAGGTCCGATATTGTTCTATGTACAATCCTTGTTTTATTGATTGCATGTAATATTCTAATTTTCTGAGATTGTGGATTTGGGGTTTTCATGAGCTGTAAGCCATAATCATCTCAATTATGAAACATCACAGCTTGAACTATCTTGCTTTGCATGTAATGAGTCTTATCTCATATATTAGTTTCACCTTTTAAGTTGCATTACTGAAATAAATGAACTTTTGCACGATATTCTAATTTTTTGAGTTTCACCTGTATGAAAGAAATATTTTTATTGAAATGTATCAATAAAACTGGTTGATTTTTTTTTATTTGATTGGAACCTTTGAATTTTGTTAACATTCAAAAATCAGTCTTGGTAGGCACCTTTTTACATCAACAACTTGATTTGATAAAGTGAGCTGTAAAAAGCTCATACCTTTTAATGAAATATGTTACTCTAAATGAACTGTCAGACTCCTCCTGATATTTGTTTACCATAGACTAACACAGCTCTTCTCATCTATTGGGAAGACCAGTAAATTAAAAACAAATTATGCAGAAGAAAAATAAAAATATTCACTTTCTTGTTTACATGAGCATTTCAAAACCTGGTGGTTTGTTTTTTTTCTGTGTGTGATCAGGTATAGAAGAAGGAAAGGGAAAATCTAAATCAGACTGAACACAACATAAAAGAAGAAAATAGAAGACCTGCTATACGAACAGCATCTCATAACATCAAAATAAATTTCAAAGAGGCATATTAACAGTGCATTCAAAATACTTTGTTTTTTAAAATGGGATGTTGATTTTATAATCTTCTTGATACCTTTGCTACAACATTGGAGGAATTGTGGAACAGGTATACCTCATGTGCTGAATATAACATTATTTATACACAGAGGGAATGTGTGTGTGTGTGTGTGTGTCTTTCCGAATTAAGAAAGATCTATTTTGTCTTAGACTTGGAAATATTAGAAAAGTCAAACTTGAATCATTTGGGTTAAATCATAAAGCTGCATCTGTGAAAGGGTGGATAAGCCCCTTTGAACAAATTCAGGACTTTTGATTATGAATCAAAGAATTTTGAGTTGCTATCAGTACATCTGGATACAGTGGGATGTACCTGAAGCATAGGGCATTCAGGTTTGGGGATTGTCTGTGAAGTATTTATGAAGAAAGAAAGGTCAGTGAAAGATCCCTCTGAGAAATATAAAACAAAAAGGGAGCATCCTTCATTTTTTAGAACCTCTTTTTAAATAATTCATTGAAGAATAATATAACTTCTTCAAGACAAGGAGTTGGTTTAACTCATGATACCAATCATATCGTCTGAAAAAAACATCTGTAATTAAAACAATAGTATATAATTTCTTGCATATTAATAAAGAACATATTCCTCTCTCCCGTTACCTAATGGCCAAATGCTTTTCTCTATTCAGGTATCATGATGAGCTCTCACCACATCAAGAAATGATGAGGTTCATTCTCATGAGGCTTTTTTTCATTAAAACTTTTCCTAAACGAAAAATAACTCATGGGATACTGCTATATAATCGTTATTTATAACTTGGTTTATAATCCATATTACACAAAGAAAACTGGAATGGAGATGCATCTAATGGGAACAACTGAATTAGGACTGGTTATGGTGCCCATATGATTCAGAACGACAGAGGGAGCAATGAGCATGCAATGTGAGAAATAAACAGTACAATACAAAATTTTGGGAGGCCTACTATAAGATCTCAGGAGAAAAACAGGCAACTTTCATAGCGTTGTACACTAGAAAGTCGATTGAAATGTTCCAATCATGCCAGAAGTATTGTTCTTGAAATGGACTGCATGTTGATTCAAATTAGTATTAGTAACTTCACAGTTGTGAAACAGATAGCTTCCAACACACAAGCAGCACTTGTGTGTGTATGTAACATTTGAATGTAACATTTGAAAGTACTGGTAGTCCTCGACTTAACAACAGTTCGCATAGTGATGTTCAAAGTTTCAACAGTACTGAAAAAAGTGACTTATGACCTTTTTTCATGCTTACAACCATTGCAGCATCCTAGTCACAGGATTAAAATTCAGCCGCTTGGCAACTGACTCATATTTATGACAGCTGTAGTGGCCCAAAGTTATGTGATCACCTTTTGCGACCTTTTGACAAGCAAAGTCAATGGGAAGGCCAGATTCACTTAACAACCTTGCTACTAACTTATCAACTGCAGTGATTCACTTAACAACTGTGGCAGGAAAGGTCATAAAATGGGGCAAAATTCACTTAACAACTGCCACTTAGCAATAGAAATTTTGGGCTTGATTGTGGTCATAAGTCATGGACTACCTGTATATGTGTTTTACTTGCCAAGGAAATTTTGTGGAAAATTCTGATGAGACCATTACAATTTGGCGTGGCAATAGCGAGTAAAGTGGTGGTAACTCTGATAAACAATCACATTTGCCAACAAAACTTCCTATTACAGTATCATGATTTTTCCTCTAAGGCAGGGGTGTCTAATTCAGTTTCATTAAGGATTACATCAGGGTTGTGTTTGACCTCGAGGGGCCGGGCTGGGCATGGTCAGGGTCGGCATGGCCAGCCTGACATTACTCATGTCGGGGGGCACCTGTGGTGGCCCAAGCGCTCTGCCAGCAAAAATGGGCTCCCAAGCTCCATTTTCGACTGTGATGGCATCATGCAGCCCTCTACCAGCGAAAACAGAGCTCTGCGGGGGGCACGTGTGGCCCTTGCGAGCTCAGTTTTCAGCTGGAGCAGCCTCCTACAACCCTCTGCCAGCGAAAATGGAGCTTGGAAGGGCCACGTGCAACCCTCACGAGTTTTCGCTGGCAGAGGCACCGTGGGCCAGTCTTTCACTGTTTCCAGGGTGCCCTGCAGGCCAGATCAAAGCACCCCCCAGGCCAGATCCGGCCCCTGGGCCTTGAGTTTGACACCCCGATCTAAGGGCATCCCCTGAAAAGATCCTAGTAAATCATTGATACGATTGTCCTAGGCCTCTTGGACTAGAAAAATATTTAGCAACAATAGATCTAAACAAAATCCAAGGTGAACTAGAAAAGAACTTAAAAAGTCCTGAAACATAACATCCTGAAATAATAGGAAATAGCCAGAAAGGGCAACTTTGAAATGCATGTTTTTAAAGGCAAAAATGAAGGAAGAGGCAGGTAACACTCAACAAGATGGAAAAGCATCTTGTGTACCAAAATGAAGGGTTGGTACAGTTAATGGAAAAGCATTAATACGAAGAGTAACCAAATATTATGTACCATAGTACAGTTTTTCTCATACAAGTGAGGAATTTATGATGTAATCCTGTTTATGTCTAAGTGAGAGAGATCAGAATGCTGTCTTGGGGCTTGTTCCATGGTAAGTGATTTATGAATACATTTACTATTTGCAAAAATGGCTAAAAGAACTCGGTTGAATCACATATTGTTTATTAGGAACTATTTACAGATGCTGTAAATTCAAGGGATTTAAACACTTCACTGGTACAATGTAAATTAAGGTTTCAATGTCAACTATGTAAATTTAGCTTGATAAAAAATAAATGCCTGCAGTTTTGTCAAGCATGTTCATATGGCAAGGCTTACATAATTCACTTTCTTGCTGCTGGAACTTTAAGTCTGTATTTCTCACTGTTTTATTCATTAGCTAAGTGTATCCTCTGAGTTCTTGTAGTAACATCGCTCCTTCCTTTGAAGCTATCACTTCCTGCTTCTTGTTTCCAAGAAAATGACTGATGCCTAGAAACTACAATGTGAATTCTTGTTACTGGCCTGAAGTCTCATGTTTATTTTGCTGATAAGAATAATGTGAGGAGAGGTCCTTAGTGTGCCACAGCTGACCAAAGGATGTACAAATAACCAGTTACTTGTACCTCTATCGGATAAGTGGGAGGGGTGGCCACCAGTGTCCCCCTCTTCAACAAAAAGACAGATTACAGCTATAATCTCAGTAAATTTAATAGCAAATCACTTGGGAACATTTTAAGTATTAAGATTACAAAAAAGCTGGTACAAAGTAAAGAATTATGAATGAACTAGATACAAATTTCAAAAGATCTATTTTTGTTTATAAACTGGACCTTTTTCTTATTTTAAAAACTGGTTCAGAATAGTTTATTTTTTATTTTAAGGGGGAAAGTATTGGACAATGGTAGCAAAACAATGATGTTTTCCTGTCTGTAGCTACAAGAGTCTGGATAGATTGGGTAATATCAGTTCCTGCTCTGGTGGACTGAGTCTGTGTGAAAACTGTTGCTCCGCCTTTCACCTTGGCCACAGTTTTTGACTCAGTCCAGCCAGGACAGGACATGAATTGCGGAGCTCCACTTGAATTACAAGTGGAGCCTTAAAAATCAAAGGAAAAAAACTTTTAAACTGCAGAGGCTTGGAGGAGCTTGCAGCCAAGTGAGTGAGGCTTTTTAGCTCCCAGGGCTTGGGGATCGCGCTGGGGTAGCAGCCCTAGCGCGTGGACCTGTAGCTATGTGGTTCGGCTCCAGGCGATCAGCCTGCTAAGGGCACAGCATAGCAGCTTGCATCAGCGGCTCAAGGAGCAATCAGCTCAAGGGAAGGCTTTGCAGCAGCGCAAAGCAGCCGCTAGATTGGGCAATCGGCCTGGTCCCAGCTGGGGGCTGCAGCCACGGGCAGTGAAGAGGCAGCAGGATAGCCCCCAGCTGAGGGCACAATTGACCACGTTGCCAGTGTTGCGTTTGCAGCTCCAACACTGAGGTGATTGCGTGGGCGCCTGTAGACCTGTATGCAGGTCCTAGAATTTTCTGTGTGACCGGCAGGGCGTGGCTGCAGCCCAGCAGTTGCCTGTACAGGCTTGCTTTGCTGGTTTACAGGTCAAAAGACCAATTGTTATTCTGGATGGGGCCTTACTGATAAGATTTCATTGTGATTGTGTTTTTAACACCTCATCCCTCCCCCAGCAGGATCCATCCTTCCTCTGGCTGTTTCTTTTGTTAGCCTAACTCCCTGTGGGATGACAGAGAAGGATCAGTAAAGGGAATACAGTCCCTCCACTTCTAAGGGCAGATCCTGGGGCAGACAGAAGAAAAAGCCCCCTGAGCCCAAAAGACCTTCCAGAGAGGAGGAAGAGACCTTAAAAAGGCAAAAGGCACATGGAAAACAGGTGAAAAAATGATGCCATGTGGCTGGGGGGAGAGGCAGAAGATCACCACTTCCTGAGGAATCAGATTCTGCTGATCAACTTCCAGTATTGCAATTGGAGACTGGGCCTTCTACTTCTGCTGGTGTATTTCACCCACATGTCTGGTCACCTGACAATTCTTCAGCTATTGGTGATCTCATACCTATAGGACCTGCAGAGGATGATGATGATTCCCAAACAGCAGGCCTGGAGGAACCATTGCCTCCTCCTCCCAAAAGGGCTAGATCTATGACTGAGGCAACTTTTACTCCTACAGCGGCTGGCTTACACAATCCTGAAGAGGATGAAGAAGCTGTCCCTGCACATTTGGAGGCTATCATCTCCAAAGCCAGTATAAGGGGGATGGTAGAAGTTCTCCAGGTAATGAAAAGGCCTGAATCAGTGGTACCAGAATACTCAGATATAGAAGAGTCCTTTCATGGGAGAAGCAGAGAATCCTTAAGGGACAGGAACTCTCCTGACCCTTCCATACATAGCCTTACCTATAAGACATCTAAAGATGATAAAAGGGGGTTAGACTTCTCTGCTGATGAAGAAATGGCTCCAGAAAGACCTTCATTCACAGGTAGATTTGATGCTCAAAAGTTCCGACTATTATTGTTTAAACAATAATGCAGGAAGAGGGCCCAGTTGGGGCCAGGAGCAGATGTCGGAGAAGTGGAAGGGGCAGTACACCCCCCCCCGGACCAATTATTTGATGAACCTAC